ACCTTTTGCATTCCTTATTTATGTTCTGCGATTTGAAGGTCCACATCCAACTATGAGATCATCCTTCTTTCCCCACCTCCCAGGCCACCCTTTGATGTGCTTGTCCTTTAGTTTACATAATGCCTGACATCTTTGCTGTAGATGGCAGTGGTGTCTCCCCTGTATTTTTTAATTGTGAAACAACCATTTTTTGGATCATTATAGGAAATACTAACCGTTTAGTCGTATTTTGAGATAAACTGATGCATTTTTTATATTTCCCAAATTTGAATACAGACGCTTGCGGCTGTTTTTTTGTTGTTGTTTTTTGGGGTGGGGGGTTTGCCTTTGCCATATTAGTTCTGAGCCCTATTTGTTTCACCTGTATTCTGGGGGAATCAACACCATCTCCCTTCTTCTGAGCTCTTGGCATGCATATACTCAACTTCTTAAGCCCCGGCCCCTCTGACTCTCAGTTTCACCACGTGAAATTTATCATTTGTCTCCAGAATCGACTTCTCTTCCTAAACTCCTAATCTTGTGCTGACACCTCCATTCACTTAGTCATTCAGAGCCATGTCCCTTTATTGTTTAGACCGTCAGTCCTGCCCACTAAAATGTCTTCAAGTGTTCCCCCATCTCTTGCCCCTCTCTTAGTTCATCTCAGGAGGTTGTCGCAGTCTATTCGAGGGTCTTCCGCCTCGCTTTTCTCAACAGTACTTGCCAGAAGGATCTTGCAGAACAGTGATAGGATTGTTCTTCCCTGCTAAAAACTTCCTCAGTGGTATCTGTGTCACAGGAGGTCAGTCAGATTCCAGGTCCCTTCTCATGGCATGTAGGGCCTCCAAACGGCCCTGACCTACCTGCTCAGCCTCATAGACCTCATCTTGTGGGTTTGCTCTTTTCTTCTAAGTCATTCTGTCGCAGTTCTCTGAGCAACACACATCACTGCTTCACCTTGTGAGCCTTTTTTTTTTTTTTTTTGAGTTGGAGTCCCAGACTGGAGTGCAGTGGCTGTTCCCGGCCACCACAGCCTCAACCTGCTGGGCTCCAGCTATCCTTCCGCCTCAGCCTTCCAAGTAGCTGGAACTACAGGCGCGCGCTACCACACCCGGCTGATTTTTTGATTTATTGTAGAGATGAGGTCTCACCAAGTTGCCCAGGCGGGTCTCGAACCTGCAGAGTCTTTTCGATGCTGCTGTTCCTGGAAGGAACGTCCTTCCTTATTCATTGAGATGGAATTCAGACGTTCCCTGTGATGCCCCCTCACATTCACACCAGCTTCATCAGCTTTGTCTACCTTTGTGTTGCCATGCTAGCTCCTACAGCAATTGAAATTTGGTTCTTTAAAATGAATAATTGTTTTGAATGCCCTTTTGACTTGCATAACTCACAATATTCTGCACTGGCATATGCCTAATGCCAGTTTTCCTAATAAAATTCAGCTGGCATGCCTTCCAAAGACTTCTGCCACTTGATATATTTTTAATTAAATATAACTTTTATTATAAAAGCAATACATGTTCACTACAAAGGGGGCGTAGAAACGTCAGATAATAAGAAAAAAATCCTGTGGCCTGAAGGCCATTTGGAATGATGGGAATATTCTATCTATCAAATAAATTATTAATGTGGCTCACAAAGAGTTAAAAGAAAGCCCAGCCTAGCACCTGCTTTCCAGCTTTGTTTACAAAGGAGGAGAGGGCTTGAGTGTAAAATTTTAAGCAGATCCTCCATACAGATGTCCACGTGTATGAATAGATGGGTTAGGCAATTTTTTTCCTTATTGTGCCTTTATAGATGGTGTCTGACTACTGTGAATATTAGCCCTGTTAAGCTGTATGCACCCTGAAATGCATGCTATGGATGACTTCAGAGGTGGGGTCCTGGGACTTGTATTTTATCATCATTGCCCCTTTTATCTCTTCTGTACAAAGTTGAGGTAGCCTTGTGTCCTACAGCCACTGTCAGGTTGGTGGTTGAGGAAGTCGGTCATTATGTGGAAATCAGGTATAGGGCTCTCCCAATTCTCTGCAAGAATCACTGTTTCCTATTGAAGATTCATCTCAATTAAATTATCTTGTTATAATAAGATGTTTTGAAACTTTCTCCCCCATTTTCTAGTATTTAAATTTTTGTCATGGCCACATGAACCTATAGATGTATACTTTTTTAACTGAGTAATTTTTATAGAACTGAAGTCTTGCTATGTTGCCTAGGCTGGTCTTGAGTTCCTGGGCTCCAACAGTCCTCCTGCTTTGGCCTCCCAGGATGCTGGGATTACAGGTACGAGCCACCGTACCCAGTCAGTAAACCTATAGACAACAGAGTATACTACAGTGATCTCCATAACAAACATTGGTCACCTTAGTCCAGGAAACAAACCTTTCCTAATAAAAGTTGGTGGGAAAGTGAAGTCTGACTTGTGTTAGGTGCTGTTTTCTTTTAATGATGCCTTTTTAATGATGTACATGTTGTGCTTTGAGTTGAAGTCCACAGATGTTGGGACTGTTTCCTTAAAGAATGAGAGCAAGGACATGTGCTTGTGCCGCCTGTGTGTGTGTTATGTACTTAAGTTAAACACTGACTGCAGTGAGGAATGCTTCGGTGTGCCTCTGGGTTTTATTTTGATCTGAGATGTGGCATAGGTGGTGTCCTATGCATGTTCATCGTCTGGAATTTTCCTTAAGAGGGTCTGGGAAGGGACAGTGGCATCACTTCATTTATCTGTTTTACAATGTCTGGCTTTTTACTGTGGTAATTAGCATTTCCCAACTTTACCTAAGATGTGGATGCTCAGATATTTAAATTTTTTCCAGCTCTCAGGGCTTGACTTCAAACAGTGGTGGATATTGGGGAGGCAGGAGGAGTTCATTAAGAGCTTAATTATCAGAATTAGAAAATGTTTAGTGTTAGAATGTTTATTACCTCTCTAAGTAGATGTGTTGGATAGTAACTTCAGCAGCTGTGTGAGCCAGACACTGGGCCCACTCTGTATTTTATCCCATTTTATCTCAGTAATGGCAGCTATTAGTCCTGTGCCCATTCTATCAACCAAAATGCTGAGGCGCATGTCCAGGATCATATTTCACCCAGCAATATATATTTCTTTAAGCATTTAGAAGAAGGTGTTTTGTAATTAAGTAAATACCAAAACTGGTGAGTCTTTATGTTAAAAGAATCATAGACGGGTTTACATTCATTTTCAGGCCTACTTTAGTGGTTAAGTTGGACAGAATCATAATGGATCACGTGTTGAGAGTAGCAAAAACTGGAGTAGAAGTTCTTACTTATCGTAGTGGTATTAATTACTTCTACAGAAAAGTCAGAAACTGCAGGACTTGTTTGATTCAAGTTGTAAACCTAAAACAACATAATGGTGGGGACAAAGAATGAAAATACTGAGTACTGAAGTATTGGTGTCACACAGATGTCTCTACCAGTGCTAGGTGGTGATGACCTAGAACTTGCCCGAGACCTTCCTGCAGTGCACGGTTGGAAATAGCATCTTCTGACATCTGGGACAGTTTTCCATGGTCAGAACAACTGCTTCCAGTCATGGTACTTGCCTTGTGATATATTCTTTGCAGAGAGAAAATTAAACACTTAAAAATTTGAGTCAGGGGTCAGTGGCTCAGCCTGTAATCCGAGCACTTTGAGAGGCCGAGATGAGTGGATTGCCTAAGCCTGTGGGTTCAAGACAAGCCTGGACAACTTGGCGAGACCTCGTCTCCACGATAAGTCAAAAAATTAGCTGGTAGCACCTGCCTATAGTTCTGGCTACTTGGAAGGCTGAGGCGAAAGGATCGCTGGAGTCCAGCAGGTCAACGCTGGGTGGGGTGGCTGTGAGTGTGTCACTGCACTCCAGCCTGGGTGACAGAGTGAGACTCTGACTCAAAAATTTTTTTTTGAGAGATTTGAGTACTTTTCTGCGTGATAAACCAAAACAAAGTCATTGCTACTTTCAGCTGCTTTATCAGACTTGCCACCCTTGGAAGAATGAGCAGAAGGTGAACTCCTGATCATTCAGCATTATTCAGGTCATGATGACCTAGCTGGTTAAACATTGTGCTGTGCTTCGAAAAAGAAGCTGTAAAAATAAACTTTGTGTATGGGTCTTCATTTGTCGATATTAGTGTTTAATTGATGTATATTGCATAGTAACTACATGAGGTATTTTAATAGTATGGATTAAGAGTAGCATGGAGTCAACGAGACCTTCCTCTTTACTGATTCTTCTAGGTCAGTGACCTCATTTTTTTCTTGTTATAAGTCAGATTAAAATTAAGACTTAGAGTGTGACAGGCCAGGCGCAGTGAGTGGTTCATGCCTGTAATCTCAGCACATTGGGAGGCGGAGGTGAGAGGACTGCCCGAGCGCAGGGGTTTGAGACCAACCTGGGCAACTTGGTGACACTTTATCCCTACAATAAATCAAATTATCCGAGTGTGGTGGCGCACGCTTGTAGTTGCAGCTACTTGGAAGGCTGAGGTGGAAGGATCACCTGAGCCCAGCAGGTCGAGGCTGTGATGGCTGTGAGCCTGCCACTGCACTCTATCCTGGCTGACAGCGTGAGACTCCAACTCAAAAAAAAAAGAATGTGACAATTAAGACATAGACCCGGAGTGTGACATTTCTGAGTACACCTACAGTGCCCTTCAGCTGCCTGGACAGCTGTTGATGGTGAATGCAGTCGGTCATCCGTCAGGACTTGGCACATTGTGCCGCTTATGTGTTGCGAGCGTTTGAAGTGGTGAACAGCTTCTAATGAAGATCGCAGAAGGAGCTTTTGACGGACTCTTTTCGAAAACTGGCCTTGCCGGTACAGTCTCTCCAGCTTATTTTGGCCCCTGCCTGATGCTTGCCTTTGGTGGTTGGCCCTCACGTCGGGTTTGTGGCAGGCAGGCTGGCAAGCAGCATGACACGCGAAGAAGATTCTAGGTTGAGCCGCACTCCGCTGAAGCCCCGCCGAAAACCGCGCCCTCCGTGGTGTTGACACTGACGCTTGTGTTGTTTTTCAGGCACCCAAGGAGTCGCCCCCGGCCCCGTCATCGGGCTCCAGGCGCCGTCGACCGGCCTCCTGGGCGCCCGCCCCGGCCTCATCCCGCTGCAGCGCCCCCCGGGGATGCCGCCGCCGCACCTGCCGCGATTCCCTCTGATGCCGCCTCGGCCGCTGCCGCCGCACATGATGCACCGAGGCCCGCCGCCGGGCC